TAATTAGTGCAATTAATTAACTTAAATCATTCTGTTTCTTTTAATTTTGGTCAAAGGTCAAAGTTATTTTTTATTGCAATTTCACCCAAAAATTTTACGATTAAGCAATTCAGTCCCAAGGTTTCAAACCTTTTTAAATCAATCCTCCATGTTTTGAATTTAATCAAATCAGTCCTCTATGTTTCGAATTTAATCCAATCAGTCCTCTATCTTTCAAATTTAATCAAGTTAGTCCCTTAACTTTTTATTTATGCTTATTGTGCATGCATGCCTTTGATTTCGTCCATTTTAGTCCAAAAATTTTAAAATGTTCGAATTTGATTTATCCTTTTTTTAAGTTTGCCTATAAAGACTTAAACATAAATATAATGAATAAGTTGAATTAAAACCCCAATACTAAAGTATGCAATCATGTTTAAAGAGAGGATTGTGAGGTGTATGCATGTCGTTCCGCACTCCTAATTGAACCCCTGAACCCTAATCTCTATGCAGACCCGTTTTAAGGTGACTTGTCTCATATTATAATTTGGACGAGTGACAACTCTTTTCCTAATATGTTTCACACATAATGTAATGTTTTTTTAAATTTTAAGTGGTCATCAACACTTATCAATGAAAATCTGTGGGATTTTTGACACTGCAACATCTACAAGGCCTTTGGCACCAGTTTTTGAGTCATCAAAAGCCTTCAACTCACTTTCCCTGTCATACTTGCACTCCATTTCTAATTGTTTTCTTTTGTGATGCAGCTGATGGATGGAAAAATGTTTATGCCCTGTGAGTCATACAAGAATGAAGAATCTATGTTTTAATGAAGATAAATAGAAACTGACAAAAGGAAAATTAAAAGATATTGAGAAAAAATAAAACAACAAATTACAACCATCATATTTGTCTTGTCCTATTAGATTTTCCAGGCTTTTCAAGTGTCTGGGGCCAATTTTAGGTGAAGTGGTTCTTGACAAAGCTTTTTAGTTAATTATTATGAGAAATGTGACGTCCCAAATTACATGACGGATAAATGTTAAGACCAAACTCCTACTAACCACTTTAATTAAAAAATTTGAAGGCTGTATGTATTTAGTCTCTAAGACTTGCTCCTGACCTTTTAGG